TTGAGTTGGTTAACTTTTTAAACATCTGAATAACTACTAGACAACGGTAAAATCAAACAAATAAAATTATTCTTGGGTATTTCTAGGAAACAAAAAAACTGCCTCGTGTTTAAGCTAACACGATGAATAATGCCTAAAAAACAGCATGCTAGGTTAAAGAGTGTATTAAATACAAATTTAAACGCTTTAGTCCAAGGTAAACTTGATGAGCTCAAACGTTTCGCGATGAATCAGTCCTCCCCCAGAAGTAATCCGAGAAGTTTAAAAAAAATAAATAAATCAACTTACCATCAAGAACATTTGAAATAGCACTAAAGTCTGTGTACTGCTCGTTTTTAAAGAACTCCACCCCCAAGGATAAATAATAGTTTACTATCCATCGGTTGACTACACGTTCAACGTTAATTAAATCGTTGTTTACGCTTTCTTTTGCCGCCATGGTCATATCTGCTGCTGCAGCTGCTCCTCCTACTTTTTCTTCTTCGTCTGTTCATCTCTTCTTCTTCGCTTCCTTTCTTGTACACTACTTTCAAAATCGTTACCGGCCCCTATCGAGTAGGAGGGCAACTGCTGATGATTGACAGCTTATCAACCAATCACAGCTTAGCACTCCTCCCAGTTCCGGTTCTCCTTGAAAGAGAAAACAAATACCAGTAGGTGTTATCTAAATGTTTATTTAACTTTGTTACAAATCCTTTCTGCGTTTTGATGACACAGTTTGATCAGTTTTGAAAAGGATTTCCTTGTTTGTATATATTCTTCAGTGACTTTTGGTTGTATAAATACACGAATTAAAAAAAAAAACTTCAATATGTAAACACAGTGTGTTAATGGTTTGCTTATGATGGTATATAGATCATAAAATCACATGTGGATTCATGACAGAATACTTGTTCCTCAATCAAATTACATTTTAACAGTATATATATATATATATATATATATATATATATATATATATATATATTATAAAGTTTTGCTGCAGGCATTTCTGTATCATCTTACAGTACAGTACTGACTATAATTTGTTTGCATTGTGTCACATGCCTAAAAATGAACTGTGTTAAAAAGTAATTAAACTGAAAGAGTGAAAAAGCCATGACAAATTATAGCTTTAATTTATTCAAGTTTATTATGTAAAAGAATGACAATAATGATAAGACAAAATTTTGACAATTCAAAATTAAAAAATGACTCAAAACATTCAGTTTGTTTTTTATACCGTAGTTACTTTTAGAGTTTCTTTATAAAACTGAAGGATTTTTGTTCTTAAAGAAACATTTTCCCCTGAAGAGGGGCCTACCAGTAAATCTTTCATAACAGTTCATGACATAGTTAAATATAAATATGCAATCAACATCCATCACTGTTACTGTACATTACAAAAGCCTCTTTTTCCCCTAAACTTTCTTAAAATAAAAGTCACCTTTAACTGTAAGCTAGTGTGGAAAAAAAGCTCTGACAGCATAGTGTTGTATTGATAATTTTGCACAATGTTCAGCAATCATCACAGTGACTGAATCTTTAGGTCACCCAGCAGAAGTAGAGAAAATATCACAATCAATATAATCTTTTTAGCAATTAAATAAAAAATAAAATAAAAGCCTCTTCGTAAAGATTAGTCCACTGATCATGATTGTAAACTACACACCCTGTAACGGAATCTCACTTTGAGACATTAACTACAGCATCCAAGTTTGGTCATGAAACAGCAACATCCTACCGTTAAATACTCATTTACATCAAACATGCGGGTACAAATGATGCCAGTCGACATCAGCCATCAAGTCTAAACAGCAACATTTGCTTGTTAAAGTTATTAAATCTGGTTGTTTTCCCATTTAAAGACAAACAACTACATTTAGCCTTGTTAGCTCAAGACCTGCTTCAGAGATTGGATTCTAATTTAAAACATCATTTGTTGAATTGACTCCTTGTTGTTCGTTAAATTTAAATGTTATTTTGCAACTGTTTAAAAAAAATTAAAAAAACAGATGTTGCTTGACAAGAAACATATTTGTGCATTTGAAAAACAATAAAACGGTACAGCATAATTTTGTTTCTGCTGTTCTCTAACAAAACAAAAACAATTAGTCATATATATATATATATATATATGATTTTTAAGTTTTCATGAACCAGTTTGGTACAAATGACTTGACTTATAGATTATGTCTACAATATTGAAAGATGTTGCTGTGGTGATGTAGTTAAGTAAAATAAAGAAAAAACAGAAACCAGCTATTAAAAAAAAATTATATCAGTGCTCGTGGACCTAAAACATTCTAACAACAGCATGTTTTTAACACACGTAGCCTAAGAGCTTTCAATATTATTGTGCATTGTAAACAGCGAAGATTTTCCTCTCCTAACAACCACAGATTAAAAAAAAAAAACTCTAGCATTTTGCCCCAAAACAAGAACATAACACCTAGAAAGTCTTGGTATGCCTACACTAAGGCAATACCAGCCTCTTAGTCAATACTTTAAATCGTGAACTCTGAATTCAGAAAGCCACAGTCGCCAGGGCCAACAGGTCCATTACTTATGCACAGTTAAAATTAGGACATTGATAATTTTGTATTTTCTCAATGCAACTGACTTGATTGTATGATTTAACAGCTTACGTGCTCTAAAAACACAGAAGTCAGCTGCTGCTGCTGCCACCAGATTTAAAACACCGTGAACTTTATGCCGTGGACATGTTGCTAAAAGCTTTGCACGCATCTGCTGACCTTTCACAAACTTTGATCAACAACAAAGCTTTCATAAGGAGCAAAGCGCTTTCTTTGATATACCGAAGCCAAGCTTTGTAGTTCAATGATTCAAATGACGTGCTCGTGTTTCAGAGTCCTCCTCCTCCAAATGCTGCAGCGCACGGATGCCAAGCAGCGTACGAAGCCGACCATGCCTCACACTCAGCTCTGTTGAGGGTTTGTAAGATGCGGGGTGTAAATGCAGTGCAGTCTCATTCAAATGTTCCTGTATATTCCTATGAAACACAGAGACCGCCTGCATTTTCCCCTCATAGAAAAAAACGTAAGAAGAAAATGATTCAGACTAAATAATGTTCAGTCTTCAACCAGAAATATTTTGTTATAAAAACACAGGGAGGCATCTCAGTGGTTTGACAGTCACATATTTGTTTTAGAAACATTGTAGAGGTGGTAAGCAGCACATAGGAGTGGTGAAATATTCAATCTATGGACAATGAAAATAACACAAAACTATTTAGTTCCCCCAAACGAGGGAATGAGGACTCAGAATAACAGTAGTCATCTTCAGTGAATCATCGAGAAGTGAGCGTCAGCGGGTATTTTTAAAGAGGGATATTAATTTCTACTAGCTCACAAAATTTAAAATAATTCATCCCAAAGAAGGAAAAAAAAAAACATGAAGGGGGGTGGGGGGTTAGCAGACCGGAGAAGCCCCTCAGTCCACCTGAATAAGAATGAGGCTTGTATTCACAGTAGCCTGTTCAAGATGATGAAAGCCTCATTTCCAGGCTGATACCGGCTGATTGAACTGTTCTACATGCATATTGTTGCAGTTTACAATTTCTGATGCCCACTTAGCTCCATGGTTGGGGCTTCTCTCAAGTGTTATGTATGAAGTGCACGTCCTTGACTGCTGATTTCTTTGTCCGAGTCCAGAAAAGTATCAACATCTAAAATCCTTTTGTCTGGGTTCAGCGATAATAAAAGATTTGTCTTTGAATGTCTTATATGCAGCAAAGAACACAAATTACTTCGGCTGCTTATTAAAGGTGCATGAGCCGAGTTCCACCAGTAACCCAAATGGTCAGAAATAATAAAAAAAGTCACTTGAGTTTCCTACGTGCTTTACCAAAAATGGCCCTCGGATAAATTTAAAGAACAATCCAGGTGTTGAGGATACTTGTGCAGAACACCAAGGTGATAATACAAACGTTGAGGCGTTTGTGATGCACTGAGGTCCCTGTCTGCCACCCAGCAAAAAACAAAGAGTCTCAGTGAGAAGAGGTCCATCTGAGTCAGAGCACAGAGAGCACACACGCATGCTGTTTTAGACACAGCCAGCGTGTTTGGGATCTTCATCAGATTCTTCAGATTGTCAGACAGAAAACTCAGAGCCACCACGGCGACCGTAGCTCAACAGCAACAAGCGCCGCAGACGCAATCCCGTGAAGGGATTACACCACAGAAGAGACGGTGGACCCCCAAACACAGATTTCATCCCGTCCCATCTCATGTGACGCTCCCACGTCGGCTTCTCGTTTTTTAGACGTTCAATCTCCTGCAAGATATTAAAGGTCAGTTTGATTAAAAAAAAAAACAAACAAACAAAAAAAAAAAAACGTGGCTTGCTTACAAATGACCTAAAACCTGTTAAAGTAAAAGTAGCAGGATGCAGGGGATACTGACCGTCTCATCATTGCAGATGGAGTGAATCTGCGTGCCAAACATTACAGCTGTAAAAGTGAGAAAGAGGATGGCTTCGAGACAGAGGAAGATCAGGAGCAACACGGACACCCCTGGAGAGAAGTCACTGCACTCTGAACACACAGGGAGGAAGAAAGGACAATTTTTTAGTCTGCATCGAACAATTGATTGAAATATTAAGTAAATAAACCAAAAATGCATATAAAAAAGCTTGAAATTATTATTTTTTGTTGAGTTCAAAGAATTGTCATTGTCAGTTTAAGTCTAGTTAAGCTGTCAGAACTGATAATTCACAGAATAGAAACCTTTATTTCCATTTATCTGATGATGCAGCGCTCTTCCTTGCAGTGATTGTCGACAAACTGCAACTGCAAAGAGCTTTTTTTTCCCCTAGGTAAGAGGCTCATTCTGTACATTGCAGTAGAAGCGGGGCTTCTATGAATAAAATATTATCTTCATTCTTTGGTTCATTTCCACAGAGAGGCCCACTGGGGAGCAGAAGGATAAATGAAAGCTCTTTGTCGATTTGCCTGCACAGTTCCAATGATCTGTGCAGAAAACATTTTTCCTCACTTTACACCTTGTAGTTCTCCGTTTCTCTATAAAGAATGCCAACCACTTGTGTAAACAGCTGGATTTCTACATTTGTTAACTATTGTTTTGTTACAGTAAATGCTTTAAAGTCTTACCGTTCCACTGGACCTTAATACATGTGAAGAAATGCATCCCGCTGAGGCCAAGAGCATGGGCAGAAATCAGTGCAATATACATCTATGGAGAAAAAACAAAAAGAGAGTGAGCGATATAATGCACAGTCATGTAGAGCTCTGACATTCATGCCTGTAGTCAAACTCTACACCCTAATGTACCTGTGTTTTTAGGGGTAACATCTTCAAATGAATGTGGAAAACAAGTGCAAACTATATTTTTCAATGGCAGGCGACCTTGCACTGCTCAGCTGTATATGGGAGCTTTATTTTTGTCTTCAAAGGTTCCAGTCAGCATTTGAAGCCATAAAAGAGTACTGATGTTATCAGGAGAGCCACAGATGGCAATGGGAGCACTTTAATGTAGGCCTGTTCCTGCTGTGCACTACACCACTACTCAGCTGCTCTATAAAACTCAAGATGGAGAATTGCAAGTTCCGTTCTCCTGCATAACAAGAATGTCATTGTTGAAAATAAAATACGTACAGAGTTGAAAAAATAAGAGATGCATCTGTTATATTTATTAGTAACAATATGAGCAGGTTTATAAACTTCAAATACATTTTTTGTCACGGTCAAGGTTTCTTTATCATCATTCTCATCACATGTGGTGGAACGAAATTGTGTACACAGGGTCCCAGTTACATCCAACAAAAGTATAAATTGTAAAGAAAAAACAGTAATAAGATCTAAGATATGAACTAAGAAATACGCTAAACTAAGAATACGTTAAGCACTAATAGTACAAAAACAATACGCCAAACAACAGCAGCACAAACATGAGTCTGTAAGAGACTTCCTTTCATGACGACTTCGGTGTACTTACAGTAAAAAGCACAAAGTATCTCTGATTCTTTTCACCCACGCAGTTATTGACCCAGGGACAGTGATGGTCCATCTTCCGGATGCACCGTTTACAAATACTGCAGGAACAAGAGACATTATAGGTATAGGTTCTAGAACTGCGCGGAGCAGCTCTGTTACTTTCATTATGAGATTTTCCTTTTGGAAACTTTAATTCCTATTTTTTCTGGATGTAAATCACATTTTTTGGATGATTGTTTCCTCTGGTGTCAGATGCTGTGCAGCTGGAAGGATTTTTACTGAAACTTTTTTAGTTTAAGATATTTGTTATGATGCGTAACCATGGCAACAAGGCAGTTTTCTACAACCAACAGCAGCTGATTAACATCTCAAAAGCTCAAATAATCTCAGCTACAGCCCCAAATCACAAATAAGTTGAAAGGATGTTCTGTAGATGCATTCTCATCTACCTGCCAGCTGTGCTCGAGTGCCTGACCACTGAGATCCTGGAACTAGCAGGAAACACGGCTCATGACAGCGGAAGGACAGGATCGTCCCTCAGCACCTACAGTTGGCTGTCTGCAGCGACGAGGAGCTCAGCAGACTGCTGGGAGGAGTGGTCATCGCTCTGAGAGGAGTTCTGCCCAGCATTCAGGCGGTCCTACGGCCCGGGGGAACCGAGAGGCCAGTCGAGTCTATGTGGACAGATCGAACGGCATCTGCAGCCAGTTTCTTAGGATCCACTGTGGGACGGATCTTTACAAGAGATCCTTCCTGTCTACAGCCATCAGTATCTATAACATCTCTTATGAAATGAGGATGAGTTACAACAACAAATAATTTCCTTTTGGAATTAATAAAGTATTTTTGAATTGAATTGAATTAATGATAGACAAAACGATATAGAGGAGGCCATAAAATTCAAAAGCCCGATCTGCGTGAATACTGAGCCTCAGCATCAGGAAATACAAGAGCAGCAGTTTCTTTCTATGGGAGGCTATTACTAAAATAAATAGGCAGGTCTGATGAGAATTTTGTAAATGTCACTTAAAACTGCAAATAGTATCAAAACTAAGAGAGATACAGGATCTGAAGAAGCAAAAAGTAAACAGCATGGTTCATCTTTTGTAGAAATCCAGGACATGGGCACCAGTGACCCCCGCAACCCAAAAAAGGAAGAAGTGGGTAAATATAATGGATGGATGGATTTTATATGCATTTTATGGCTGTTTATTGATGTGTGTACCTTATTTGTGGTTTGTCTAAAACAGATCTCTTATAAATGAGTCCTCGTGACTCAATGAGACTAACTTGTACAAATAAAGGTTGAATGAATGAAGCTGTCAGACACAGCAATAACAGTCTGAGCCTCTCAGTTGCAAATATACGTCCCTTTTCATTGTCGCGGATGATTACCTCATGTTATGATACTGAAGCTGCTTGGTGGTTGCTGATCATTGTGTTCTCAGTTTACGTCTGATTGCAGAAAATCTCTAGTCTTTCAGTTAAATCCCACAGTGGATGCTTTAAATTTGATTTGTGTTTTAAAATGTTTGACACAATTTGGCCAAAAGCAGCTGCTTGAATAACAAAATGTATTCTCATCACAGATTAATGTATATTTGGATCCTTTTGAACATTTGGTTCACATTCATGCTAGTACACAAGTCTTCCTGTACACAGTTTCTTTAAATATTTATACACACGTTTTAGAAAGTATTTTACATTTTGAATGCATGAAGGTGGAGGGGTAAAGGAGGTTTTCAGTTTGGTCGGTTTAGGCTGAAACACAAAAGTCGTTCTATTGACTCAAACTGATTGCAGATGAATCCGTGCTGTCTTGATCATACACGGAGGACATGGTCTGCAACTGACCTGCAGTGGTGTGCTCTCTCAGGCTTGATGCTACAACACTTTGGACACTTGTAGATAACTTCACCAGGCTTAAGCTGCAGGCTCTCCATGTACTCCTTGGTCGCATTGCCCTTGGGAACTGCACCCTAAACAGAGGGGAAGGCAGAAGAAACAAACAAACAAACAATGATTATCATTTGCAGCTGGGTTTAGAATTAAAAAAGGCAAAGAAGTTGGAACCATCAGCTCTTCTTCTGTTTTCAGTTTGGTAGCTACAGGAAATAAACAAACAAACAAACAACTTGAGAGCCAATGTGTAGATTGTCTCCAAAAGGGGTACTCCAGATGTAGTTGAGGGGGAGAGAAAAAATCCTGAAGCCACAACACAGATTGGAATTCCCATATTTTAAGTCTGCATATTATTGTGATGTTTCAGTTGTAACGTTTGTTTCATCTTAATGTTGTGCAGGAGTATGTACCGTATTTTTCGGCCTATAAGTCACATTTTTTTTGCATCATTTAGATGCCCTGTGACTTATACAACGAAGCAACTTATTTATGGATTTTTTCCCCCATATTTATAAACCAATTTTTGGCTGAAATATGATTGTTTTCATTCATTCGGACTGAAAATATTGAACATTACCATTTAAAGCCGCTAGATGGCACTCGAGTAGTATGGTGCATTTTAAAAAATAAACAAGTAAAAGTTTAACTGAGACACACCTTTGTTATGAAGTCGAGCAAACAAATAATTGCTTTAGGTGCTTTTCTTGTTAAATTTTGAAGAAATGCGCAGCGTTCCGCCTTTCTGATTTCCTCCCTGTCTGTGCGCTCCTAGAGCACCGAGGCAGCGAATACTTTTGAAATACAGCTGATTTGACCGTTAAAGTCAACTGAGACACACCTTTACTATAAAGTCGAGTGTTTTTAGGTGGTTATCTTGTTAAATTTCGAAGAAATGCACAGTGACTCGTACCTCTACGCGTTCCTACTTCCGCGTATCGACTTTTGAAATTCAACTGATTTGACCATCAAAGTGTATTTATTAGGCAAAAGTTAGAGACTGAGACACACCTTTACTATAATTTTGAGCAAACAAATAATTGTTTTTAAGTGTTAATCTTGTTAAATTCTTATTAATGTCCTCCCGTGAACGCTCCCGCGGCCACCATTTGGCAGCCAATCAATTCAATCAATTTTTGGAACACCGGCCCACATTTCAAGGTTGTCAGCGGTGACGCATTATAAACGCGATGCGTCAGCGGTGACGCATATCAGATGCAACTTATATGGCGAAGTGATGCAAGTATGGATTTTTCCACTTTATTAGACATATTTGGACTGATGCGACTTATAGGGCGGTGCGACGTGTACGGCGGAAAATATGGTCGTCATAATTTTTCTTTTCAGGCATTCAGTTTCTTTGAGTAAGCGTTAGTTGCTGTTGCAGCAACACCACAGTATTTAATTCACAACCCTTTGAGGACTAAAGTGGGCTGGATTCAGTCTTGTCAAACAGTAGAAAAAAGCATTTGTGCTATCAGTGTCCAAAAAGATTAGTGTCCAAGGGCTAAAACACAAGACCATTAAAAAATGCACATCAAACTGCCTGCAACATTTTTCATTAAACTGTTTGTCTCATTACATTTTAAAGAGACCTGTGTGGAAAAAAGGTTACAGAAAACCTCAAGTTGAACAGACACATAAATCAGCTTGGATGAATGTTAGAGCACTGTCTGATTAAATACAGCAGCTGAAAGACATTCAGACTAATAGTCTGTTCTGTGCAGCTTTTACACCGACCTTCCCTTCACACACCCCATCACTTCAGTGTTCCAGATTATATTAACAAGTGACTCCAAGTGTCAGACTGGGGCAGTGCTTTTAGAGTGTGTCGTAGCTTATACTGCCAAAACATCTACTAGAGACTCTTTGATTCAGAGTAGAAAACTGGAATGATTAATGGATGCAATATTCACATAAAATAATTCTCAAAACGAAACATTGTAATTTAAAAACTGCATCCAAACTTTTGACCGTTCTCATTTTTTCAGATGCTCCAAATTTATGACTTCCTGTGCTCAACATTACTCAACATGAGCGTAATTACTCTCCTTACCGGGTCAGTCAGCATGGTGCGCATGTGCGAGGCCAGTGCAAGCACAGCCAGGGAGTTGAAGGTGGCCCCGTTCAGCAGTGAGTACCAGAAGTTCTTGGCGGGCAGAAGCATGACGAAGTTCACTACAAACTCAGCGTACAGAACCAGGAACCAGGTCATGGTCGCACACACCATCCCACAGCTGTCCTGAATGAACCACAGTGTACGGTTTCCAGCTGTGTGGCCCGAGTGGGGTCCCCCAACCATCACTCCAGCTCCCAGGCTCCCCGTCTCCACGTCTGCACCAGCCGACAGCAGTGCGTGGTGCTGCTCCATATCTCGTAGCCGGTGGTTTGAAGACTGCATCCTGCCCTGAAGAGAGGAACATGAGAACCAAAAATATTAAGTGTTTTTTTTTTTTTCACAACATTTTATAAAAAGTTGTACTGAGTGAGGAATTTGAATATAAAAAAAAAAAAAAAACCCTATTCCACAACTATTATATCAAATGTTATGAGATCAACCACTATCTTTGATATTATTTATCACTGAGACCAAAATAAATATGAGTCCGGTACTCATTCCTGCACTCTACCCCTAAATCTCAGCACCCTTTGAGTCACTGCTGGGACAGTCGTGAGTCACTGGACTTTGTTTCATGCGAAGGTCGGAAGAGAACATTCAGGAGCAGCTGGAAGACAAAGTCCCCAGCTTCATGATAAATCAATGGACATCCAGTCCCTTTGGGAAACTGATCCTGCAACTGCGGTGCATTCGAGCTCTAATAATATTCTGTGGACCCAGATGCCAGCTGCTGGCAGACCTGAATGTTATTGACCAAGTAAATTGAAAAATTCAGAGTTTCTCAGGTGTTTAAAAAAAGAACACCATTTAGATATGTACTCAGATTAGCTTGAAATCCAATCTGTAAACATCTATCAATGTCAAAAGGCCGATGGAGCACGTTGTTCTGGATTTCACACACAACATTTTTACAGTCACCCCATTACACTTAAACAATTAAAGACAACATTTGGTGCACTTTAAGCAGAACATTTTTATTAAAATTCTATTTGAGTTATAAACAAGATTTATTAGTCTTCCTCTATTAATTTTTACAACAGTAGTTAAGTATAGTCCCAATAATGATTTGATTAAACACATTCTGTCTAAAAAAAAACAACTATAGCTCAGTTGGCAGCTTAGGCTTAAAAATGTACATAAAAGACAGGCTCTGAAATAACATCATTAGATAAGCACTAGATTTGTTTTAGATTACAAGCAAGTCTTAAAAGCACAAAAACCTGGATGACCCTTAATTTTCTGCTTTTAAACTCAGACAAGACAGAGGTTGTGATTTTTGGACCTGAGCATCTTAAGAATAAACTCTGCAGCCTTTCACTTCCAGTTCTAATGTAAAAAACCTTGGTGTTCTTTTTGATCAGGATGTGTCTTTTAACCCACACATTAAAAAAGTTACCAGGACCACTGTCCTCCACCTGCGTAATATCAAGATTAGAAACATCTTGTCCAAAATGTATGCAAAAACAACTGATTCATGCATTAATCACATCTAGGCTGGACTATTGTAATTGTTTATTATCTGGGTGTCCAAAACATTTACCGGTATTTAAAAAGTCTTCAGTTGATCCAAAATGCTGCTGCCAGAGTTTTAATGTTAATGTTAATCAAAATCTTCCTTAAAACATACAAAGCCTTCAACAACCTAGCTCCATCTTATATTACAGATCTTATTGTTCCAAACTTTCCTAACAGAGCACTTTGTTCTCAGACTGCAGGTTTACGTGTGGTTCCTAGAGTTTCCTAAAGCAGAATGGGAGGAAGATCTTTCAGTTATCAGGCTCCTCTCTTGTGGAACCAACTTCCAGTTTCTGTCTGTGAGGGTGACACCGGCTAATGTCTTTCCTTTTTGATAAATCCTATAGTTAAAAAGTCAGTTTGGGTTTCCTGAGCTATCCCTTAGTTATGCTGCTATAGGCTTAGACTGCTGGAGGACAAATTGACTACGTTTCCTCACTCTGCTGCTGTCTTTACTCTACTCCTCCTGTTTATATTTGTCATTATTTCTATCTAACATGAGGGGTTTTTTTTGTCTTTATGCCTATAGAAAGTACACCTGGACCTGCCATTCTGTGTCTGTTTCTCTTCCCTGTCCTCTCAAACCCCAGCCGGTTGAAGCAGATGGCCACTCGTCCTGAGCCTGGTTCTGCTGGAGGTTTCTTCCTGTTAAAAGGGAGTTTTTTCTTTCCACTCTTGCCTTTGTGCTTGCTCAGGATGGGAGACTGCGATGAAGTGGATTCAACACAATCTGCTGGCTTCCTTAGATAATTTTTATTAACTGGCTTTTTTAATGTATGTGAATGTTTTTGCTCAGTGCCCTGAGACAACTTCTGCTGTGACTTGGAGCTATAGAAATAAACTGAATTGAATTAGGTCCGTAAGCATGATTTCACTTCCAAACAGTGGGAAAACTATATGAAAAGATGTCAATATTAGTTTCAGCTAGTTGTTTTTTTTCTAAAGATAAATAAAAACAAGCAGGATAATATAAAAACATGATTATCTCCAAATAACAAAGATTATCTAGCTTGAATTTCATTTAGCCGAAGTGAAGTTTAGTCACACTGCTCACAAAATCCTTAACCCGAAGAGCCCTGTTTAAGATATTTTTAACCATATGTATTTTTTCCCACTCATAATTAATCACATAAATTGATCCAAGTCATTCTCTACTTACAGAGGTCCTTTACTGGTAGAATCAGAAACATTGCTCCGAAGCAAATCACTACTTCCTTACCCAAACCCTTTTAAATCAAACGAGGCATTTCCAGTGACCCGGGTGGAGCAGAGCTCAGCAGACAGTGTTTAGCTGACTAAATATCTCACAGATGTTTGTTTCGGTTTGCTACCAAAAACTTTCCACCGAAGCGAGTGTGACTGACATTGCTTGCAAACTGGATAATGAGCGAAGGAAAGAGGTTTTTGGCTTGTCGTGCTGACATCCCAAAACAACAAATGCATCCTCCTGACAGTCATTAAACAGCGCTGACTGTTTCTCTGTGGGGGTTTGGTTTTGTCCACAAGCTAGAGTAACTTTGTGCAAGCATTATTATGACTTTCTGATATCCAGGAAGTAAAATTAGACCCAAGCATTTATTTAGCTTTTTTGTAACATTCTGTTTTCTTGTAAAGTCATGCCAGTATCTGCACTTTTCTCAGCTTTCTTCATGAGTGAGTGGCCCTGATTTCCAAACTCGATTTAACATTGATGACATTCATAACGTTAATGATAAAAACAAAATACTTCGAGTTAATGAGAGCAACAAATGATATTTCAGGAAACTGCATCGGTTTTGTAAAAGCTCATGGATTTCTAGTTTGCTCACAATACCTTTAAACAATAGGACACATAGAAACAGAAAATTAGCTACCATGTGAAGAGTGAAAAACCCAACATGGAAGAAATAAACAGATCGGCGTCTCATCTTCTTATATGTGCATGCAGGATTTTTTATACGTCTTTATGTGCCATGCTTTTTCTTTGAAAAGGTAATGTAAGTTAAACGCACAACACAAGAGTCCAAGCAATGCAATACATCTTGTTGCACAGCTGCAAACATTGTTCACGGTGTTGCAATGGTCTATTAATGTATTTTATGATTTCATCCAATGAGCATGAATATTGTATACAATATATTCATATTGAAAACAATGTAAAACTCATATGTTGCTCCACAGTTACATGTTAAGAATGCCCTTAACATGTAACTGGAGAAACGTGAGGAACAACTCCTTGCCCATTATTACCGTATTGATTTTTGTGTGATCAATAAAGGGTGGGGGTTGGCAAATAAAGTCTCTTGACCAGCTGTCAGTTCTTTTCATCTTTTCACCGCAATCCAGCCCAACGCAATACTTTAATTTAGCCCAGACCGCTTTAAAGGATCATTCAGCTACAGAGTCACCACATTCAAAAAAAGTTAGTATAAAACATCAGCTCCATAAAAACTGATGTTTTTAGTAAATTTTACTAAGAGAAGTATTTTACCGAAAGAGTTTCTGATTATTGGATGACGAGTTTGATTGCCAAAAAAGTTACTTCCTGCTGAAAACAAGAAGAAACACATTTCTCCTGTTCCTACTGTCATATTAGTATAAATGAGTAAATAACACATACACACGTATACTGTATATATACAGTTCTTGACTCGTTTCTTAAATAAAAAAAAATACAGAACAGTTTTCTAGTTCTGATATAACTGATGCTCTGAGTTTACATGCTAACTTCTTCAGGAGCTGCCCAACATCCTGCACTGAGCTGGCATTATTAGACTCATCTTGATGGCATACAGCCTGACGCTGCTATAACACACTTTAGCTTCTTGGAGCCTAGTGTAATGGATTTTTACTTTTTTTTTTTCTCTTGAACACGTGAATGTCAAGATCAATAAAATAGGAAGCAACTAGACATCGAGTCATCAAACGACACATAAAGTAAAAGCTGTCTAAGAACACTACGTCTGCTGCGTCTCAGTCTTCCTAAGGACCTTTTCATTGGACAAATCCAGAACGAGGAATAAATGAGTGCAACATTTCCAGCTTTTACTTGAAAGACAAACAGATGGCACAAAAATGACTTTACCCCACTCTCTTGTGGAATAAAAAAAAAAAAAACAGACAATTAAAGGGGGCAACATCCCTCAGCTTTACAACAGATCTCTGTGGTGAACAAATGCAGAACTCAATGCAAGCCGACACCTGAACAAAACTAGTTGCTTCATTAGAAACATAAACACTAATTCAGCATTAAATTTAGCGAAAAAGTGTTTTACTTGTGTAGCTAAAATGTTTGTTTGTCAGCAAGTAGTAACCAAATCGTGTCAGAAAATCTTAGCAGACTACAAAAAAGTGTGAAAACACCACAAGAGCAGCATCTGTTGCATATATTTTGCATTACAACATGAATGAAGGTCAGAGAGAATCTACAACAGTAGTGACTTGGTGTAAAAAAACACATTAAGCTTCTGAATATCAGTCAGATTTATTCCGTCTCCAACTTGTCCTAAACAGACAAAACCAAAGGGATGCTTTTTTCAAACAGGAATTTGGTCCCAGCAGTTCTTCCTATGATTTTAACCTCGAATGGTGTCCCAATTAAGTTTGTCGAGTCCTACAAATATTTGGGCATCTTGATCGATTTGCATCTCTCTTTTAAGCTCCACCTGGAAAACCTAGTAAGGAAGCTGAAAGTTAAACTGGGTTTCTTTTTCAGAAATAAATCCTGTCTAACTCTGAACGCTAGGAAATGCCTTGTATCTGTGACTTTCCTTCCCTCCATTGATCACGGTGACAT